CTTAAAGACACATCGTGGAAATATTCCATCATGTTCGCCTTTTACTTCTGTTGCCATGTCCTTAAGGGGTTTATCAACCCAACCTAGGTCCTATAGTGGACACACTGGGAGTCTGTAATCAAAATGGTATCATGTCTGATCTGGGCTTATCTAGAATAACCAGTAATTAAATGTTTATAGAGGAAACAATGAAACAACTAAATACTCAGAGTTGCTGATTTTGTTATAGTTATAATATTATGAACATAATTTCTATACTTTTGAATGCTGAAGCCCATCCAGAAATAATTACTTAATTGCATCAAACTTTTCTTCATTAATGTTTTGTTAATGTTGATGTAAATAAATGTGTTGAGCGTGTGTATGGTTGTTGTTTTTTGTTTGTTCTTTATTTATTTTTGTGGGGGTTTTTTTTACGAAAATCAGAGTTTTATTGAATAACATATAAGTGTAGACATCAGGTCGGAATCAGTTGCAATATGATTGGGATATGTGCAGGTCTCGAAGCTAGTCATCAGTAACGTGGCCATGCAAGACCCAATAATCATATTAAAGTACAATAAGAATTGTTTTGTTGTTTTTCTTAGCAAAAATACACAGAGGTATCATCCAATCTTACAATACAGAAGTGGGGAGGAGGGGCAAATAAATGGAGTAATGTGTGCCCTGGATTCTCAAATAATAAGTATATGCAGCTTAAACCACCTTCACTGTAAGTCCTGGCAACCTTATATGACAGAAAGTGGGTCACAGTTCAGCTCTAGCATATATTCAGTAACACACAATGGGGCCTCACTAGATCTCACAAGATATGTGTCTGCAAACTATCTTGCACACATAACTTTTTTTCACATATACTGATCAACACTCAACAATATTATAGTCACCAGAAATGGCCTCGATGGTAGGGGGCATTTAAAAAAATATATTTTTAGCCTTATTGTAGTTTCTACGTCTTCTATGCATCATTATAAGAATCCTATCAATGTGCTGAAATTCCTAAAAGTCATTAGTATGCTCTGCAAACCATCTGTTAACCAGAGAGTTCTACACCAATGTTCCTCCCATTCTTTATTGTCTACATACTGACACCTAACCTGCTATTAAAACCAAACTAGTTAAGATATTCTAATCAGAATGCTTATCAACTGTGTCTATACTTCACTTACAAAAGGAATGCCTACCTCCAGCACTGAGCTGCCAATGTGCAAAAAGTTCAAGTATTAAACATATATAAAGATGACTCTGGGATTGTGCAAACAGAACAAATTCATTATTTCCTGGATAGAATGCTTTATCTACATTATTAACGCCCGTTAGCGTCCATTGCTAAAGGTATCTGCAGAAGAGCAGCATGAAGTCTGAAACATGATTCCTGTCTGTGCTCATTTGCATGTCAAGCTTGGAACTTTGGGACAGTTGTGGAAACATGGTTTCTCAAGTTCCTATAGCCAAAAAGAATTCCTCAAAGTCCAAATTGAGAGATGCAGGTGATTCATAACAGTATTGTTTTAATCTATATATATATATATATATATATATATATATATACACTATATGGACAAAAGTATGGGTAAACCTGACCAGTATACCAGCAGGGACTTTTATGACCCAGCGTTCTAAATACTAGTCATTAATATGTATTTGGTCCTCCCTTTACAGGTTTAACAACTTCTACTCTTGTGGGAAGGCATTCCACAAGATTTTAGAGTGTTTCTGTAGAGATTTTTGCCCATTCATTCAGGAGATGTGAGGTCAGGCACTGATGTTGGACGATTGGACGAGAAGGCTTGGCTCACAATCTCCGGGTGAGAGTTACAGGATTAAAAGGGGTTAATAAGAGTGGAGCTGGGTGAAGGGGTGACAGTGTGTGGGGTCTGAAAGTGATTGGGGAATGTGATAGTGTATGGAGGGGGTGTCCGTGTCTGTATGGGGATGATAGTGTGTGGTGGTGACAGGGTGTGCGGGGGGTGACAGGGTGAGTGTGTGAAAAGTTAACAGGGTCTGTGAGGGGGATGTGGCAGGGTTTGTGGGAGCAGCTGTGACTGTATGTGGGGATGACTGTGACAAGGTGTGTGTGTGGAGTGACAGGATAGGGTGGCTGTGAGGATGTGTAGGGCTGTGACAGGGTGGGGGGCTGAGAGAGGGTAGGGGGGCTGTGAGAAGGGAGAGTGGCTGTGACAGGGTGTTAGTGGGGTGACTGTGAGGGTGTGTGGGGGGCTCTGACAGCGTGTATGTGGGGTGGGGGATGTGAGGTTGGTAGAGGGGCTGTAAGTGGGTAGGTGGGGCTGTGAGGTCGGTAGGGGGCTGTGAGAGGGTAGAGGGCTGTGAGGTGGGTAGGGGGGCTGTGAGGTGGGCTAGGGGGCTGTGAGGTGGGTTGGGGCCAGAGCAAGGGGAGCTGTGAGGTGGTAGGGGCTGCAGTGGACAGGAGGGGCTGGGTGGGAAGTGGGATGGGGACCGGGGAGTGACAGGGGTTATGAGCGATAGGTGCTGTGAGGTGGGTGGGGCTGGGGTGAGGTAGCATATTTTATAAGGTGGGGTCAGGAGGGGTAGGGGGCTGTGAGGTGAGGTAGGGGGTTTGTGAGGTGGGTGAGGGGGCTGTGAGGTGGGTAGGGGGGCTGTGAGGTGGATTAGGGGGCTGTGAGGTGGGAACTGGGTAGGGGGCTATGGGAACAGAAATTACCTTTTGTAATTATTCCCTGGTGGTCCCATGGGCAGCTTTCCTGGTGGCCCGGTGTGCTCACTATCCGATCTGCAGATCCGCCGGGAGTGAGCTGCAGACCATGTGGTAAGTCTCGCGACCTCCAGTCAGAGCGTTGTTGTGGTAACCTGCAGTAACGCTCTGATTGTCTGAGATTGCAAGACACCTCAGTCTGCAGCTCACTCCCGGCGGAGCTGCAGAATAGAGGCTGGCTCTCCCGGCCAGGTGTTGTGGAGGGGACATGCACCCGGCGACATAAAGGCAAGCTGGCTGTCCCCCTCCTGTGTCGGGTCCTCAGTCTCTGACCGAGGACCCAACATATCACACTGCCCTAAGGCGATTTAGGTGGCCGCGAGGCCCCCCATCACCGCAAGGCCATCAGCACAAAATTTTGGCCATCAGCTGTAAGAGGGCTTTATAAGCAGACACATTTGAACATGGATACAGGTACCCGTGATAAAGGCAGCCAGTTGGTGCCGAAACGTTGGGAGGTTTGGTGACTCGTGTTTCTGTCTTGAGGCTTGAATTTTTGTGGTAATTTATTATTATTTTATTGTATTTGCCCTTGCTTCTGTCACTTTGTTTATTTTTTCTTATATGTTTTCACTCTGGTACTTTAATGGATATGATTGAAACACCTGAATTCAATAATTAAGAGGTATGGCCATATATTGTGCACATACATAGTAATATGCTTAATTCATGTTAATGCAAAATTGGTTGTGGTGTGTCATAACCAATGTATGTGTTCGCCTGTAATAAAAAGAGTGCCCACCAAGGGTAATTGTTATGATAAATAAAGTAAGAGGAGTGTGGTGGGTAGAACGATCTGAACGAGAACGGCCCAGGTAAGAGAGTGATTGAGGTTTTTATAGGTTAAGATAGTTTCAAATGCCTCCCACAAACACAGGCCTATGGCCTTAAAACTTGTGGTCGGAAACATAAAAGTAATAGGTGTAATTCGTCTTAATGCATAGTTGGTTGGAGTGTGCCATAACTCACATGGCATTGGACCCCTCCCTGTCACAGGTGCCTCATTCCAGTCTTATGCAATGTATGATAACTAAACCCCATTATTTTTGCCTAAATCAGATGTTTAAAAAACAAACAAACTAATAATCAACTTATCAAATCCTGTGAGCTTTGAAGTTGCTGTTTAGTGAGTAAGTGCGCTGGGTCTTGTAATATACATACATATTTACCAATGTATAACCAATAAAGCCAGCATTACCAATTCATTCACATTTTGTTCACGAGACAGATAATAAGAACATTGAATAACAATATAAGAATGCAAATAGGAGGAACATTGTGTACAGCAACACATTTTACAACACTTTAGCACCCATAGGTTTAATTATGCATAACTAACAAAGCAATAATGCCATTAAATTCAATATAGCAAGTTCTGTGAATGGAAAAAAAATAGACCATTATGCAAGTTATTTTTGCATCCCTGAATTTTCATTATATGAATTGTAACTTCGAGTTTTACAGCAATGAGATATGGTAAGAAAAAAAAAGAAAAGCAACAAAAAAACTGAGTTTTGTTAAAATAAAAAAATGGGCTGCATTTTTGTATTGTGGTTTAAGATCCTAGTGGAAAAAATAGGCTAAATTTAATATTGCCATCCTTTCTAGCATTGCGCATGCATTATGCTAAGTCTTTTCCCATCTGGGAGTATAGTCTTGTACAGTATGTAGCTGAGATCATTACACTGTAAGAAATTATACTAAATAATTCAGCTTCAGGATTCATTTTACAACAGCAATACAGTTTCTGCTTCAAAGGAAAAGCTAAATAAACAGGTAGAATAGGGAGAATATGTGCTTTTACACCTCTTCAATGGGAATAAAAAGAAAGGAGGCAGCATGAAGTGACTCTAATACAATAAAATATCATATAGGAAAGCTATTATCAGAGGAAAATACTCTGATTTATTGTGCACACACAACACAGGGAAACATTTGCCACATGTTAAATTAAAATAATGTATTCACTAAACTAGGAACTGAGGAGACTCGGCAAGGGAAATTGTAAGTTTAAGACCAGAGTAGCCAAATTGATAGAAAAATAGCTCAATTGGAGAATTTTTTTTATCTCGTCTATTTTGGCCTAAAATTCCAATTCCCTTCTTGGGTCTCCATAATTATCAGTGTAGTGAGTCGACTCATTAAGGTTGCGGCTGAGATAATGATTACAACATAATGTCATCAACTTCATCAATTAGGAGAGGCTAAAAACTGGACGTTGTGGTCATTTGAGTGTTATTAATTGGTCTCAGTAGTGGGTAATGAGTCAAAGGCTCCTACCTGTTTGCCCTCGGGAATGGAAGCTAGAGGCAGACAATGCTTTGCAGCACACCATTAGCACATAGACCAGGAAAAGCCAGTGAGACAGGACCATTGATTTGGCATGGAATCCCATCCTGCAGGAACAAAAGAAGGATACTCAGTGATCTAATAGGATCTCCATGAATAGATAGACATTATGCTTTGAAATGTAAGAAGAGGTACACTACTTAATCATAGTTGTTCAAATAGGACATTGATCAATGCGTAAACCCCACAGATGCCAGAGAAACTGGCAGGTCCGGTATTCAGACACCTCTGGGAGGTTAAACACTAAGCAAAGGTATCTTTAACAAGCAACCGGTGTAGCAGCTATATTTAGGACATATTTGTAATGTCTAAAAAATACAGTTAATAGGCATATGTGGAATATACATTTGTATGTACTGCGCAGACCTATATAAAATGTTATGTCTTGTTTCTGAATGCACAGAAGCTGTTTAAGCATGTTCTCTACTTTGTGTGGTGGCATTGTTCCACGTCTGTGTTCACTATTAGAATCTTTTAGCAGGCAGAATCTTTTAGCAGTTCAGTACAGCAACTATTCAAAATTCAAAGGATTACCGAGAACCTTTTTAATCACGAGGTTAAACAATATAATTTTTTTTTTTTTTTACTTACCAGTAATCCAGTGCCAGGTGAAAATTCCCGTGATGATCTACCTCCTTCATCCTATGTTATAGCAGCCCTTACGCGGTCCAATCACAGACCTGTGAATGGACTGCTTTGCTGGCTCAGAGCACATGCCAGCAAAAGGACGTTTTTTTTTTTTTTAAAAGGCTGTACTGGATGGAGCACATAGTGGAATGGGTGAGAATATCCTTACATCTGCCGCTAACATGCATGTACGTAAAATATGCACAAAATTTACTTTAGGATGCCCAGAACTCTGTTCTGGGTTGCCGAAATCATGTGTGCTGGGGGGGTGTAACTAACCTAACATACAAATGCAAATATCTCAGTGCAGAGTTTCAAGCACTGGAGTGGTTATGGTGGTTGGAGTAACCTTACTACACAATCTGTTCACTGTATGATAGGCATTCTTTTAATGCTCTTAATGACACATGTTATAAAACAGTGGTGGATATAGTGGAGTGTAACTAACACCTGGCTGTAGAGGACTTAAAAATTTGAAAGTGACTGATATTTAATGTATATTAGTGTTTCAAAAACACTTTAGGTTTTAGAACCAGAAAGTGCTGTATAAAACTGGTGGGGTTTGCTTGTTATAAAGGTTTCTTTCTGTTCTGGACTGATTAGTGGGATACATGCAGGCACAGATTTCTAAAATTTCCCCTTGCTTGCTCACACCCCACTCCAAAAAAAATTATAATAATAATAAACAAAAGATAAAGTGAGTTTAATTTATGTATTAACGGAGTATTGAAAACTAAGATAAAGTTAAAGGGCTGTTTTAAGGTTTAGGCTTTGAGTTCTTAAATGTGGAGATAAGGAATGGATTTGTTTAATTATTTGGAGGTATTAAATTAAGGGTTAGAGAAAATGGTTTAAAAGTTTATTTAAAAAGTACCTACCCTCCTATTCCCCCTATGATTCATTGATGGATTGATGAGCTGCAGATGTCACTGTTCTTCCTGTAAGGCATTTCCTATGTGTGTGGCTTTAAGTGGGCAGATGTGAAATTATCCCTTTCACTTTCTGTCCAATCTCACACATAGACACAGAGGAGCTAGGACAGAACTTGGTTTTATACCTTCTATAACTATTCCTGCAGCTCTCCTATCAAGCATAGTAACGTGACTGGGCTACTGAGGATACTGGCCATGGCTCCAGGTACTTATCTCTCCCTAACGGCTCACGTAAGCTCCAAAAAGGCACATTAAGGGTTCTGTATAAAGGTGTCCCCTACAAGAGAAGCACCTGTAGACAGGTACCTATTTTGTATTTGTATTCACTTTTGTATCACTTTTGTATCACACAGCTAGGTTGCAATGCTGCTGCCCATCCCATGTGTTCCCTATTTCTGTCTCATTAGAGATTTTTTTGCCAGAAGCTCAAGGAAGCAAGGCAAATGGTTAGAGTAAGACCCAACTAAGAGGTCCGCCTTGACGTGGCAGGTGGGCATACCCTCTCATGGCTATTGGAGGTAACTAATAACCTCAATTTGTTTAAAGATACAAAGGGATGTGGAAAGAGCGCAGGTAACTTTTTTCTTTGGTTTTTACTATATGTATTTTGGCTGATGTGTACTGTGGTCGTTGCTGCTGCCCAGGAGTAATGGGTGTTATCGCGCAGGACTAGTTTTTTGTATTTTTATTTACTTTTGTATCACACAGCTAGGTTGCAATGCTGCTGCCCATCCCATGTGTTCCCTATTAAGGGTTAATAAGCTTGTAGGGATGTATATAAAAAATAGCCCTTTCTGTCTCATTAGAGAGACTTTTGCCAGAAGCTCAAGGAAGCAAGGCGAATGGTTAGAGTTAGGACCCACCTAAGAGGTCTGCCTTGACGTGGCAGGTGGGCTTACCCTCTCATGACCATTGGAGGTAACTAAAAACCTCCATTTGATACATAGGGATGTGGAAAGAGCGCAGGTAACTTTTTTTTCTTAGGCACCTACTTTGCCTAGTGGGAAATCTGACACTATGGTTCATCACTCCATTGGCAGCTTCACTGGAAATCAGATCATATGACACTTTCAACCATTTTGGATGTCTACCTTCTTCTTCTTTCACTTGTATGCATGCTTTTTAATGTGTGAATGTTAACCTTTTTTGATAACAAAATTTTCCAGTTTCTGCAGCAATGCACTATGTACATTTATTTACTCTCATCAGAGTTATTCCAGCTCTGAGAAGGACAATTACCAAAGAGCTAATAAGAGCTTTGTAATCCTGTGTATCCTGTGTTGGCTGAAAGTTTATTTTAGACGTGGTGTAAAGTAACATCATTTTATATGTTGCAAACAAGGTAAGAATTTTTCTCTTGTAATGAATTTTTTTTTTATACTGTTTATTATTTTGTTTTAGATCTGAAAATAGGACTGGAATACGCCTAGACAAATTTTGGTGAGTCAACAACAAAAAAGCATATATTACAATTTCAAATATAGTCTATTAATCAACTAATTGTTTCAGGTTAACAGAAATTAATTTATCAACAATTTACCTTATTTTTCTAAGCGTTGATCTGGCAAATCAATTCAAAAAATGTATTTTATTGGGATAAAATTGATACTGCCTTTAAAGCTACATTCAATAAGTCTAGTTGTAACACCATCTGTACAGTGTTAAAAAAAAAAGAATTTTGCATTTTCCCAGGTTTACTTTTACATTCATCATAAATAATATCTAATTTCACAAAATACACAGTGAACCAAAACAGCCATTGTGTCGCAGACTCATTTTTATGCCCCTAGGCATTTCTCGAGAATGATAAACTTTTCTGAGATGTGTTTAATTTAATTACTACAATTGCCTGTTTTTAGGATGATTCTCCTGTTAATCCAGTCATTGAAAGTTACACAGCTCCAGAGATACCTTGGATTTTTTGGGGGGGAGGTTTCAACAAATCTCATTAGGTTGAGATTTTTTCTATTATTAGAACACAGAATAAAATCTGAAAATCAAGTCAATGAATTGCAAAGTCAGTTAGCTGCTACAAAACACTTTGTGAATCATCAGACTGAATAGGATCGTTCGTAGGGTGTGCATAATTGGTTGTGAGTCTATTATATAAACAGAAGAAATGCTACGCAAATATACTGGTGCCTATTTGCATATCTCATCATTTTGCAATATTTTACAGCTTCTGGTAGGTATTTTATACTTAGTTTTATGAAAGTAGCATCTTTAATGTAAAAAATGTTAATTTCATTTCTTTAGCTGCTTCTAACAAAATGCATTTTGTAACTTGTATTGTAGAAAAATATTTTGTTGATCAAAGGCACCCTAATGTGTGCAATTTCAGAAACATGTATCGTTGAAAGTAAGCTGTTAATCCATTTCTAAAAAAAATATAAAATACTCATGATGGTAAATGTTTCAGGCAATTTGTAAAAGGTAACTCATCCGTTACCCATGTTAAATAAGCATTATATTTGGAAGGACATATGCTAATTTAACATATTAAATGTTAACACTCACCGATATTGGGGTACTATGATGTAGTGGTGGGCATAACACAATATGACCGCGTGGTGTAATTGAATCCCAATATTTGTTTTGCTAAGATAGGTTTTAAGTAACCTTGAAAAATGTAAAAAAAAAATAATTACTTGCGTTTGTGTGTGCATCATTACCTAATCTGTATTTGGATATATTTTGATCTCTATAACAGCACCATCACTTAAAAATGCATGTTCCGGGTGTGCCCCCTGTTCCCCTTTTCTCAGTGTGTGTATGTCAGTAAGTATGCATGTGTCAGTGTGTGTTTATGGTTTTCAATGTTTGTCTATATATCTGACAGTGTGACATCAATGAAAATGTGTGTCTGTGTATCAAGTGTTTGTCTGTCAGTGTGAATGTGTGCCAATGAGTAGAAGTATGGATCAGTGAGAATGTGTGTACTTAAAAAGATGAAAGCATTTAATTAAAAAAAGGTATCTTTTCCTCACGTCATTTATAGATAGAGAGACAGATAGGTGGGTGGGCTAAAATTCAAAGTAAAATTTGACAGGTAAATAACTTATTTGACCGACGTCCATTCATTCAAACACCAATACTGCACACAAATGTACATCCACATTTAAAAAAACATCACTTCATACAAGCACACCCTTGCAATTAAACGTAAACACTACACGCAAGTACACCACCGTACTCCAATGGCAACAGTACAAATACACCCTACATGCACACACATACATTATACAAAAACATGCTTACATTCAGACACACAAACATTGCTCACAAATACAACCCTGCAAGGATGGGCAAATGGTAAATCCCCAGCTGGCAAAGCATTGTCACAGTTCAACAATGCAAAAGCCATCTTTGTGCTAGAGGGGCCCAAAAACATTCTTGCACCAGGGCCCTCTGTATATTAGTTCTGCCACTGCACAATGTCAGATCACACTCAATCAGCTATCACACCCAGGCAACTACCACAATTACACTCATCCAAGTGCCACACACGATCACTCACAGCCTTAGCTCACATCATCACACACAGCCCATACAAACATTCCACTCAGGTGTATTGCTTAGGGGGGGAGTAAGGAGGCCTTAATTGATTCTTGCACTAGGGCCCTGTGATTCCTAGTTACGCTTTGAAAAACTGACTAAATTGAACTTACGGAAGCAACAGACTTTGCACATTTTGTGTACGAAACAGATGCCTTCATTTGACCTAAAATAATGAACAGGAGCAGCAGACACTCAGATGTAATTGAGCAACATGGAGACACTTTAATCCAATCAAACTCACCCTCTCCTGAGTGCCTGGTGTTTCTTTTCCTCGTATTGTGGAGGTAGCATTCCAAATAATTTGATACCTGGTGAGACTTTATATGTTTCTTTTATATGTATTCTAATTCATCTCACTATTCATTCGTTTAACATGAAGAACAATTATCAAAATGTCAATATTTAATGCAAGTTTTTCCCATCATATAGACTTTGCAGAGGTAAGCTCTGAAAATTTACCGTAGAAGGTAGATCCTTCTGTTTACCTTGTCATATCGAACAATATATGCTCTGGGCAGGGGAGTGTCTCTTTAACATAATGCTCTCTCTGAAAACCAATATTGATGTTTATTTACTAACAAAGGATTATAGTGAGTTCCAATACTTAGGCCAAAAATATGTGTTTTGGGAAATGTTACCAAATCAGTTATAATAAAATTTAGCAAATTTGTTTTCATATCACTACAATTTCATTTTTAGAGAATACACCCATATTTGTTTGGTCCTCAAGCTAACTATTGTAGAACCAAGATTTTTTCATATGCGCTGCCCGCAGGATACATCTATTTGTGTTAAAATGGAAAATGATTATGGGGATTTGTCACCTTTTTGCCAATCCAGGCTTTCTAAGACTTCTCTCTCTCTATCTAGAAATTACAAAGTTTTCTTACCTTGGGGATTTTGCAAGAAGTTTGTTCAAGTCAAACACAATTATTTTAGTATCTGCTTCAATGTTGTTCCAAATTCCCATTTGCAATTGCGAGTAACTAGTTCTGCATTTCATAGAAATATCTTTCCCAACTGGGACCTAAAAAGAAAACAGAACAGACAGCAATTAGAGATTTAAATTGTGATGTTCAGTTCAGCTTGTTTCTCAATATAATTGTTTAGCAATAGGATCCACGCGTGTTTAAAAGCAGCAAAAATATATAAAGGTCAACAGATCAGCTATCAAGTGAAAATATGTCACATTTTCATCAGGTCTGCCTGTGACTCTGTTTGATATAGCACAACCAATTTATTCTTATGATCGACATTAACTACTTTCCAAGTCTGAATCTAAATTGTTTTTTGAAAACATGGCATATTTTTCCTATATTTACAAGACAATAGAAAATCGGCTTCCTTTGCTAATAGGAAAGTAAGATTTGAAATGTGCTAACCTGAAAATCAGCTTTAGAGACTCTCCATCTTTTAATCACATTCATTAAGCCATAAATGACGAATGACATGGCAATGCTCATAAAAGAAAACTCTAAGTATCATAACCACTACATCATCCAGAGGTCTTCTGGTACCCTCCCAAAATGACAACTTACCTTGAGTCTGATGAGCTGTAGTGGTTATTAGACATTTACATGGTTAAAAAAAAATATTTAAGTGATATGCTTATACTTTGGCAGGACGGAGAGGAACAGGGGCCTTTGAAGGGACAGGAACGTCCCGAGCGCGCAGCCCATTTCAGCCCGATTCACAGGACTGCCCACGATTTCGAACTCAGGAAAAGACCTGCTAGACTGACCAGATACTACAAAAGGGACGAGTGATTACTTTCTCATTGAGCTACAACTCATTTTCACCCATCTTCACTTTGATTCAATATACATCATCTACAAGATCTACCACCCTCTTACTGAATATACTATCAAGTTCACGTGAGATCCATCTATAAATTTATGAATTATATGAAGTATATAGTGCACTATATTTTGGACTATCAATAGGACTGGAAAATATATACATTTTTTTCATTCATTTTTTCTTCTTTTTTTCTTTTTTCTTTTTTTCTTTTTTGCTTTTTTGCTTTTTTTCTGCCTTTTTTCCTTTTTTTACTATATTTTTCTGGACATTTTATTTTCATGCATTTTTTGGATCCACAACCTATGTATATAGATATATAGTTCATGAAATTCAGCACAGGGAGGTTTTTTGTGTGTATATATGTAAATATTCGATGTATATATATGATTGGAATGAACTTCACTAAGGTTTACTTGATTAACCTATGAATTACTATTATAATAAATATTCTTGCAATTCAATACAGTTTAGATTTCACAAGAATCATCTTTTTTGAGTGCGGTATTCATATTTGTTTTTGAAAAAAAAATATTTTGGCCGAAATACTTTGTCCTAAAATGAAAGAGAAAATTGGGATGAATGAATTTTTGGCCATATGCCAGCTCGGGTTCCGTTACTGTAAAAAGTAACGGAAAGAAATGGAAAGAAATCAGATGAACCAAAAGTCCATGAAAATGGGCCAATAAGTGTACTTCAAAATACTTCAAAATATATACATAATGTAAGCAAATTCACAGATCAAATGAGAAGAGGGAAAAAAAATCCATATTTATAAATGTATATATTATATTTTTGTTAAAAATATATTTATTTTTTTCTGCTTTTTGTTTTATTCCCTCTGTTGGTCACTTCTCACGTGATGTGTGAATAAAATCAACATTTATTGGCTGTCCTCTTGCCATCAATCATCTTTTCTCAATCATCTCTTTTTTTGGCACAACGGGAGGAATTTCCAAACCACGAATCAAGACAAACATGCTCATCCATTGCATGATTTGTTTGCTTTGTGATTCGGCTACATTTTGGCATGGAGTTAAGAAAATTGTATGATCACCTGATCGGTACAAATGTGGATGAACTGCAGTTTATAACGAAACAAATCTCCAAGTTTAGTGGTTATGGTGCTTGGAGTATTCTTTTAACATGATCTAACCCATAAAGATCCTATAACAGCATGATCATTTAATTCAGCAGTCATTCCATTATCATAAAGACTGGATTTTATAAATATTCTGTCCTTGCCCCATAAGGGATTAAAAATAGGTGTGCATTCAGATTGTCCTTCCAAGTCAGAGAGATATTGCAATTAAAGGGCATTCTAAGCTAGTGATTCCCAACCCAGTCTTCAAGGTACACCTGCATTTTAGATTCTGACAGTATTTTCATTAGAATAAAATTGAGAAATACCTAATTAATGCACCGATTGGGGGCCATTGTTCTAAGCACATGACTTGCAAACATACACCTGACTGTACAGTAAATGTTCTTGCACTAAATTTCTTTCTCTTGGCCTATTACCCAACAGCTCTTAAATACAGAGTTTCCCCTCTTAAAGGGACACTACAGTCACCAGAACAACTACAGCTTATTGAAATTGTTCTGGTAAGTATAGTTAGTCTCTGCAGGCTTTTTGATGTTAACACTGTCTTTTCAGAGAAAAAGAACGTTGATGTGATACGGTGAAATTGTATAAGAAATGAAGGGATGTTAAATTCGCCTTAGTGTGTCGCTGTGTGTGCAGCGTAAAGATTTTTGTTCTGTGCTGAATCTAGACTTCAATAGTTACCTGGTTATATTATACTCAAGCCTGATCATACCTTGAGCAAAGACAGAACCAGGTACACTAAACAACATTACCAGAAAGAGGACAGATTCAGAACTCACAATGACAAAGACGTAGCAACAAAATCATACTTAACAATGGTTTGTGCTGAAGAGCTAAAACACGTCATGTATATTTTTTGTAGCTCTTTTTCTTTTCTGTCATTTAAAGATAAAATAAATATAAGTCTTCCAGTGTAAATGTTGAAGCTAGTCTATTATTGAGCATGCTGATTAGTGCACTTACAGGTGACACTCGAAAAATTAGAATATCGTGCAAAAGTTAATTTATTTCAGTAATGCAATGTAAAAGGGGAAACTAATATATGAGATAGATGGATTACATGCAAAGCAAGATAGTTCAAGCCGTGATTTGTCATAAGTGCGATGATTATGGCTTACAGCTCATGAAAACCCCAAATCCACAATCTCAGTAAATTAGAATATTACATGCAATCAATAAAACAAGGAGTGTACATAGAACAATATAGGACCTCTGAAAAGTATAAGCATGCATATAGATTCAGTATTTGGTTTGGGCCCCTTTTGCAGCAATTACTGCCTCAATGTGGCGTGGCATGGAAGCTATCAGCCTGTGGCACTGCTGAGGTGTAATGGAAGACCAGGATGCTTCAATAGCGGCCTTCAGCTACTCTGCATTGTTCGGTCTTGTGTCTCTCATCTTTCTCTTGGCAATGCCCCATAGATTCTCTCTGGGGTTCAGGTCAGGTGAGTTTGCTGGCCAATCAAGCACAGTAATCCCATGGTCATTGAACCAGGCTTTGGTGCTTTTGGCAGTGTGGGCAGGTGCCAAGTCCTGCTGGAAAATAAAGTCAGCATCCCCATAAAGCTCATCTGCGGAAGGAAGCATGAAGTGCTCCAAAATCTCCTGGTAGACGGCTGCGTTGACCCTGGACTTAATGAAGCACAGTGGACCAACACCAGCAGATTACATGGCTCCCCAAATCAACACAGACTGTGGAAACTTCACACTGGACTTCAAGCATATTGCAGTGTGTGCCTCTCCATTCTTCCTCCAGACTCTGGGTCCTTGGTTTCCAAATGAGATACAAAAGTTGCTCTCATCAGAAAAGAGGACTTTGGACCACTGAGCAACAGACCAGGTCTGTTTTTCTTTAGCCCAGGTAAGACACTTCTGATGTTGTTTGTTGTTCAGGAGCAGCTTGACAAGAGGAATACGACATCTGAAGCCCATGTCCAGGATCTGTCTGTTTGTGGGGGCTCTTGATGCACTGACTCCAGCCTCAGTCCACTCCTTGTGAAAGTCCCCAACACTTTTAAATGGCCTTTTCCTGACAATCCTCTCCAGGCTGCGGTCATCCCTGCTGCTTGTGCGCCTTTTTCTTCCTCACTTTTCCCTACCACATAACGTTCTATTAATGTGCTTTGATACAGCACTTTGGGAACATCCAACTTCCTTCGCAATTACCTTTTGAGGCTTTCTCTCCTTATGGAGGGTGTCAGTGATGGTTTTCTGCATAACTGTCAGGTCAGCAGTCTTCCCCATGATTGTGATTCCTACTGAACCAGACTGAGAGACCATTTAAAGGCTCAGAAACTCTTTGCAGGTGTTATGACTTACTTAGCTGATTAGAGTGGGACACTGTGAGCCTAGAATATTGCACCTTTTCACAATATTCTAATTTACTGAGACTGTGTATTTGGGGTTTTCATGAGCTGTAAGCCATAATCATCGCACTTATGACAAATCACGTCTTGAACTATCTTGCTTTGCATGTAATGCGTCTATCTCATATATTAGTTTCCCCTTTTATGTTGAATTACTGAAATAAATGAACTTTTGCACGATATTCTAATTTTTCGAGTATCACCTGTATATATGCATGTATACTTGACATGTTAGTTTGATGTGCTACATTTGTATCCTAATGAGAAGGGGAAGCCTTACTGTTAATTTCCAAGTTGGACAATTTATTATGTCTTTTCTTTAGAGCAGGGGTTCACAATTATTTTTTCCCGTGGAACCCTTTGACACAGTATACCAACATCTTGGAACCCCTGAACAAAAATTTTGCGTAGTAGCACAAACCTTTTAATAAGTTGCTTTTTTATTATTTTTAAATCTTTTGCTCATAAACTGTTTAGCCTTATGATACTCCTGAAGCTTTCGCTTAAAAAAGGCAATGTCTTTATCTTTGTACTCTGTGTGGTTTTGTTCAAATTGATGAAGTAATTTATCAAGTACTATCGAACTGTTTGGCAATATTTTATTGCAAAGTAAGCATTGTGCTTAAGGAATATTTTTATTTCTGGCACTTGTGAATCCAATTGATAAGTAGCTGTCGTCATATTTTCATTTCTTTGTTTGAGTAGAAAATTGGTATCATTGTGTGCTTTTATTTTTAACTTTGACTTGTCACTTGT